CTATTATATTCTAAGGCTCCAATTCTTTAACATACATATTTTCTTTTTGAGACAGAGTCTCACTATGTTGTCCTCAGTAGACTGCTGTGGCTCACAGTTCACAGCAACCTCAAACTCTGGGGCTCAAGCGATTCTCTTGCCTCAGCCTCCTGAGTAGCTGGGACTGCAGGCGCCCGCCACAATGCCCAGCTATTTTTTTGTTGCAGTTTGGCCAGGGCCACGTTCAAACCCGCCACCCTCAGTATATGGGGCCGGCGCCCTACCCACTGAGCCACAGGTGCTCCCTGCCAGCTGACTTCTTAAATGTGTGTCTAGCTCTGTCTCTGTTTCGCCTTCACTCCTGCAAACTTGGCTTTAGGAATCACAAAGTGTTTTGTCTTGTTGAGAAACACCACCCTGACAAATCCGTTTTCCTTCTCAAAACCCAAGTCTTTGAAGTGCCTCTAAATTAAAACAAAGATGCTCATTTTAGTGAAAGTGATTAGAAATTAAAATGTATATATTTTAATACTTACTATTGAGAAATTTAAAAATATTGTATGATCATTGAGATAAAAAGGTACTAAAATTAATCATTCCTTTGGGCGGCACCTGTGGCTCAAAGGAGTAGGGTGCTGGCCCCAATATGGAGGTGGCGGGTTAAAACCCAGCCCTGGCCAAAAACTGCAAAAAAAAAAAGTTAATCATTCCTTTTTGGAATGTTCCTATTTTCCTTTTACAGATAGTCATACCCTGATGACTTAGTAACTTTGTAATCTTGATCCACAAGAGCATGGGTATAGCGCAGTGCTGAGTGCAGGCCCTGCCAGTCCCTTGCCCTAGCCTTGGTCTGCAGAGCTGCCCTGCCTGTGGGGACAGTCTCAGTGACAGACACTCATGGAAACCAGTCATCACAGTGTGAGAAGTATGGAAAGAAAGATATGTTCTTTAATAAAAAGGCAACATGAAGATAGCACATGTTGAAAAGAATATAATCTTTGTTATCGGGAGGAGGAAAGGAACTTGGTCACCTTCTTTCCTTTTAATGAATGAATGTAGGTTCTGGAGTCAGGCAACATCATACCTTAATTCTTCAACTTTTTACTTCTGTGGGACCTGGGGAAATTAAGCTGAGTCTCAGATTCTCCATCTAGAAATGGAGAAGCAGCTTCTGTTGTGTATATGTGGCTTTTATGAGGATTCATTTGTAGATGGAAGCCCCTGGCAGATAGTGGGAATTCAGTGGAATTTAGTTCCTCTTTCCTTGCTGCCTTCCCTCTACTCAGAAGGGTCTCAGCAGACTGTCTGGTCCATCACCATTTCTGAAGACCATGTGTGGTTCCTAGGATACTGGGTTAATATGATTATTCAGTTAGGCCTACGCCTGCCAAGTCATGCATTCTTGCTAGCCAATAATTCTCATTTTACCTCTGGTAAATCACTTTGCCTTGGGTATCATTAGCCCATTCTTTCATTGAGGATAGTGTACTTTTTTTGGACTTTCCTGTGCATAGAATATGTTACGCAGAGAACACTTTGTTGATTGTATTATTTGAAGCCGAATGAGGTTTAGGTTTTGATTTTCTTACTCTTATTAGTTAAATTATGAATTTATTACGTAAATTTTTTAAGTTGCTTACCTAATGTAGTTAATTAATTTTTTAAAACCTGTCATGTTCCAGAAGTTAACTTTACTGTGGTTGGGACTCAGTCGTTTCACTTTTGCATGTTATGTTGTACCACCAGAGGTTAGACATGAGTTCAAGAAGGCCAAATGTGCATAGGATTACAGTTTGTCCTTGTTCCGCTCTTGGCTTCTCATCCTGCCTGTGGAGATACAATGTGTGTTCTTTCATTTGTAAATCTGTACTGAATGCTTTGAGATAGCTGTGTTTTATGAGGAGTTGTTGACCTACATATGTGTAATGTACATGTATCCTGCTGGTGTAAAAATACTTGGTGAAATTCTTTCTCAGCTTTCACTCAGGCCCATTTCTAATGAAAGTGCCAAGGAGATCAAAAAACCTTTGGTAGCTGGTAGCAAAGAACCTTCCCTTGCCCAAGGAAGTCCTGAAGACCAAGGAGGCAGTCCTCCAGAAACAAAGCCTGTGGTCTGCGTCTCCAGTGCTCAGCTCGTGTGTGTGGTTGCCGACCTGGACAGGCTTCAGGAGCAGGTGAGCTGTGTCTCAGAGGGTGTGAGGTGCCTGGGTCTGGTTTTTCACAGAAGGCAGCGTATGCAAAAGGCAGATGCCCTCTAGAGAGAGCTCTTCTTCATCTCCCTTCTGGGTGTGCTCATTCCTTTTCAGCAGCAATGGGACAAGCTCAGAGCAAAGTCAAGCTCCACTTTTAATTTTCATTACCTCTACTTAGGCATGATCTTTAGTGGGCTAGATTTTCATTATTATTTTTCTTTTTTTTTTTTTTTTTTGAGACAGAGCCTCAAGCTGTCCCCCTGGGTAGAGTGCCGTGGCATTGCAGCTCACAGCAACCTCCAACTCCTGGGCTCAAGCGAGTCTCCTGCCTCCACCTCCCAAGTAGCTGGGACCACAGGCGCCGCCACAACGCCCGGCTATTTTTTTGGTTGCAGCCGTCATTGTTGTTTGCGGGTCTGGGCTGGGGATTCGAACCTGCCACCTTAGGTGTACGTGGCTGGCGCCTTAGCCGGTTGAGCTATAGGCGCCGAGCCAATTTTCATTATTTTTAATTCACATACCCAAATATTTTCTGTTTACTGTTAATTGTTTACAGCTATCTAAAGTGCTAAAATATTAAATCATCTTCCCTTTTTTCTCTTTAGGTCCCATATGTTTTTGCATTAAGCTATCTTATGATAGCTTATGATGTTTTTGCATATAGCTATCTTATGAAAGTGCTAAAATATTAAATCATCTTCCCTTTTTTCTCTTTAGGTCCCATATGTTTTTGCATTAAGAGAACTTGGTGGGGTAAATTCAATGATTAAGTCCTCTGATACACAATTCTGCTTTTCTTAAGTTTAAATATTTGGTGGTGTTTGAATAAATTCTATTTTGAGTTAAAGCAGTTGTATGTTTTGAGCAAGAATATGGCCTTTCTTGTGAGCTATTTTTATATCACAGAGAGCCACAGAATAGCTGATATTTCTGCTTGTTCCTTATGCCTGTGAATAGCCATGAAGCCATGTGGTCTCCCATGCTGCTAAAATCTTTTATAGTGAACACATTAAGACTGTTGCTTTTCTGTAATGAAAATTACTGAAAGTTTTGATTTTAGTTTCACCATTCATTAATAGCATTCTTGAGTTTGTAGATGCAAATAGAATTGCCTCTTCCTTTGATTTTAAAAAAAGCAACAGAAATATTGCATATTTTATTTCAGCTTCCAGAACTCTTGGAAACAATCAAGCCAAAACTTGGAATGATTGGCTTTAAGAATTTTTCTTCTATCTCAGGTAAAAATGAATCTTCAGACTCAGCAAATCTTTGAATAAAAAATAATTTAAAGTTTCATAGACTGTAGGATATATTTAAATTCACATTTTCTTCTCTAGTTATAAACCCTTGGTTGTTTCTATATTCTGATCTGTCATAATAGCATACTTAAATAAAACTTGTTTTAATTCTGTTAATTTGGTTTGATTTATTAGACTGTGTGCTCCATTATGACAGTATTTAAAAGGAAGTTTACATCTGGGTCTGGATAGAAAGATTAAATCCAATCTCTGTATTTCAACAGCTGCCCTTGAGGACTCCCAGTGTTCCTTGTCAGCCTCTATGCCTTCCTTGAGCAGCAAGATCGTCCAAGATTTAAGTGACTCTTGCTTCAGCTACCTGAAAGGTGCCCTGGAGGTTCCCAGGCTTTACCGAAGAACCAATAAGGTCAGCACCATTCCTTGAAAAAATTCCTGAGGTGGGAAAACAAGTATAAGAACAGCCAGAGACAGGGCTAGCTGCGACAGACTTAATTTCATCCTGTTTTGAGAGTGGCATTTGTGCAGGTGGCAGGAAGGTGCTCTGGACAGAGGAACTGTGTGGGTGGACTTTGGAGGATGACTTTTTTCTTGAGTCTTTTGGCTTTAAGGAATAGTACTTAAAAAATAAGCACTTTACTAACATTTTTAAGTCCTATACTTTTTGTCATCATATTTTGCATTTCAAGCTTTATATCTTATTTCCTTCATATTGTTATTGAAAGTACACTTGGCCCTCAGGATCCCTTGAGTTCCACATTCATGGATTAAGTCAAACTCAGATCAAAAATATTTTAAAAATAGTAATAACAAAAATAACAATACAGCAATAAACAATAACACAAATAAAACATACAGTATAACTGTTGACACAAAACTTACATAGGGTTAGGTGTCATAAGTAACCTAGAGTGATTCGAAGTGTACACATCGACTGCATGCAGATAACCTTGTTAATTTGCTCTTTCTGGTCTGACTTGAAGCTCCCACTTGAAAGTGGGAGGGAGAGAGAGACCTTTTCTACACTGACTTTTTTGGGGGGGTGGATAATCTACCAAGTCTGCCTTCCTAATCAGGCTAGGAAGTTACAGTAGTGTATTTGTTGAGAGTTTGCATTAAGGGCAGGTACTCTGTTAAACACTTCATATGCGTTCCCATTACTTCTCCTATGGAGCTGTGCTAGTGTCCTTATTTACAGATGAAAGAACCAGAGCTAAGAAAGGTTGAATTACTCACCCTGGAAGCTCACTTCTCAGAGGCCAGTCTCTTTTTTTTTTTTTGAGACAGAGCCTCAAGCTGTCCCCCTGGGTAGAGTGCTGTGGCATTACAGCTCACAGCAACCTCCTACTCCTGGGCTCAAGCGAGTCTCCTGCCTCCGCCTCCCAAGTAGCTGGGACCACAGGCGCCCACCACAACGCCCGGCTATTTTTCGGTTGCAGCTGTCATTGTTGTTTTGGCGGGTCCAGGCTTGGGATTCGAACCCGCCACCTTAGGTGTACGTGGCTGGCGCCTTAGCCGGTTGAGCTATAGGCGCCGAGCCAGGCCAGTCTCTTGACTCTGAACTTCACCTAGCGAGTCGGAGCTTGTTAGGAAAGCATAGTCTCAGAACTCAATGCTTTGACTCCATCTCCCCACCCCCCAGCAAGAACTTCAGTGAGATCACCAGGTGATGGGTGTGGACATGCATTTATGGAGCCAGGGCCCTATGGGACTGAGCTGTTGGTGGCTGTCCCAGCACTTACCTAGTCCAGCCTTTTTATCTTGTGCTTGTTCTTCATAACTGGCTCCTGCTCTCTAGGAAGCCTCTGCCGATGTACAGGCAGCTGTGTTACTTTCAGGGAGGAGTGGAAGTGGTACCTATCTTCAAAACTGAAACATTCACAGTCTCCTTTTGAACTTGAAGCTTGAGTAACTTACTCCCTTGTTTTCCCTATGTGTCTTTAACCTCTACCCACATTATTCCAGGAGGTCCCAACTACAGCTTCCTCTTATGTGGACAGTGCTCTGAAGCCATTTTATCAGCTTCAGAGCAAACACAAGGACAAGCTCAAACAAGCAATAATTTGGCAGTGGTTAGAAGGTGCTCTCTCTGAGAGTACTCACAGGTAAGTAAATTAAAAGGAGACCGTGTGGCCTTGCTTAGAAAAGTTGAAGGAGAAAGCCCCTGAGCCCCTCTCAGGGTCGTAGGGCAGTGAGACAGTGAGAACCTCCAGCATCTCATCACTGGGCGAGGCAGATGGTGGTCCTTGGTCCACTCTCTTCCCTCAAGAGGTCCACATGGACAGTCCCTGGGGCCACGTTCCCTCCCATCATAGCCAGGCTGGCCCTGTTCTTGGTCCCTTATATTGCTAGGGCCCACCTGCCTCTCCTGCAGGTGTCACACTCCCAGGTCTAGCCATGTCCCTCTGGGAAGTCCTGTCTCTACTCTGGCCTGTCAGCCTGGAGTGGCTGTAATCGTGCCAGGTGATGAAACGACTTGTGTTAGTGAAATATAAGGGCAACATTCGTTTTAATTACAATTGACAAAGAATTTCTAAAACCTTTGATTATCACTTCATTTCCAATTAAATCTACCTTCCCCCCAAATGCCAGTGTTAAATTACATTGGAGAGATTAATATTTGGTTGAATTAGTGATTTTGTTTATTAATAATTGTTAATTTTACAATCATGTTTTGTTTACTCTTAGTTAAGCAGCCATTTACGGGTTAAGAACGTAATGATGTATATAATACTATTTTTGCAGGCAAAGATATTCTAATTGCCAAGTAACTAGCTTGTAGACAAAGTTTTAAAATATAACTCACTTGGCTTGGCACCCGTAGCTCAGTGGTTAGAGTGCCTGCCACATACACTGGTAGGGCTGGTGGGTTCCAACTTGGCCCAGGCCTGCTAAACAATAATGACAACTATTACAAAAAAATAGCCACACGTTGAGGCAGGCACCTGTAGTCCCAGCTACTTGGAGGCCGAGACAAGAGAATCGCTTAAGCCCAAGAGTTTGAGTTTGCTGTGAGTTGTGATGTCACAGTACTCTATCCAAGTGTGACATAGTGAGACTCTTTATCAAAAAAAAAAAAAAGTATATGTGTATATATACACACACACACTATATATATATATATATATAATTCATTTATAATTGGAAGATTATACTGAGAATATTTTGAAGGCAATGAATTTTATTTAAAATTCTGAAGTACTTACAGACATACACTTTGAAAGATGAACAGTTCCTAGAACTGATTGGAAATGGACTTGTTACTTGATCTGGGGAATGAACTACAGCTGTCTACCCTAAACATACAAAAGATAAACTGGCCTATGATTTTCTCTTACTGTTAGAAATTAGAATTTTAAACGAAATCCGTGCATGTATTTTTTAAGTTCTGGGAGTGCTGTGCTAGAGACTTACGGTTTTTCTTAACAACCTTAAGAGACATTAAATGTTTATCATGGCTGAATTTTTGTTGGAAATTAGTTTTTATCTTAAAAATGTCTTCTTGGTTCCACAAAGCCAGTTACTCTATTTGGTATTACCCACAAATATCTGTTTCACCATAAACATGTTTTGTGCTCAAGGTACTATGAAACCGTGTCAGATGTACTGAACTCTGTGAAGAAAATGGAAGAGAGCCTGAAACGGCTGAAACAGGCCCGAAAAACCACTCCCACTAACCCCGTTGGTCCCAGCGGGGGCATGAGTGATGACAACAAAATCCGGCTGCAGCTGGCCTTAGACGTGGAGTACTTAGGCGAGCAGGTGACCGACCCATCATCGTCAGCAGCCCGGGATATCCAAAACCAAGTTCTGAGGGCCCAGCAGGTCACAGGAACTTAGGATGCTGTTGTGGTGACTGGAGAGTTGGTCTCCAGGGGTTAAGTAGAGCCTGGGCCTCAGGGTACTTTGAAGGTGAAGGATTTGCCTCTTGGTATTATGAGAGAAAAAAGGTAGAAGAATTGTGAGACTTCTGTTTTTGAAGTCTGGCAGAGGGTTCTGTGGTGCTAGTGACATCTACTTGGTAGCCCAGTGGCTGGGCTCATGGAGCCCCCTGCAATGTCGACTCAGACAGAGACATGTCTTTTTGCTTGACTGCCTAGAAAATGCCCGATGGTAGTTGGCACTAAATCCATGTCTTTTGAGATTCTTGCTGGTTTGGTTTAGAATCATTATGAAAGCTTCACTCTCCCGTGGCATGTGAGAAGTCCTCTGAACACAACTTTTTGCCTCCTTGGGTTTTATAGGTTTTCTATAAAATGCAGATTTTAGACTCACAATATATGGCTGAATATTAATGCATATGTTGTCACTCAGGCAGTGATATGGATAAAATGCAACAAATGCCTTTTTGATTTTACTGAGGTGTTGTCCTCATAGTATCATAAAAGTTTTGGATACTCAGAAACTGGCTTTCTAAATTTTGTAGGTTTTCCACATAGCAGTAGATCTTTAAAAAGACCTTTGCCAGAGAACAAGAAGTAAATTCATAAAATTTTCATCAGAAGACACTTTGTTTTCTAGCACTGTGAAATTTATTTTATGTTTCAGGGTCATCACTGAAAATATAATTTTTTTCTGCTTTGATGTGTGTTTAGAGATAGATTCCAGCAAAAGTCAATTGCCACATTTCTGTATTTCACAAGAGAAACTTTGTCTTTTTACAAGCAAGAAATTTAGTTTTAGGAAAAATGGAGAGCTAGTAAGCAAAAGAAAGGGAAGGAGGAATGGGGGAAGAGAGGAGAAAAGTCTTCCCAACCCCCAGAACTAACTGCAGGTGCTGACAGGCTCAGTGTTTGTCTTTGTGGATCTGTGTGTGTGTATTTGTGTATTCACTGCTGTTGTTTTTAAACAAAAGTGGGAACATAGTATGCAATGTCTTGGTTACTGGAATAATCCACAGCAGTTGCTCTGCCAAAGAATTTTCAGCTCATCACATTCTAAAAGGTTGTTGCCAGCATGTTAAGAAACTAAGAACTTAGGCCAATACTTTCTGAAAATTTTTTAATTTCTTTTAGTGTGAATTTTCTTTTCTAGAATTTTAAGTCCATAAAAGAGGTTTTTATCCTGTCTTCTTTCATCAATTGAGATAAATTAACATACTGGCTTATTAGAATGCTAAGTGTTTGACCTTGAAACCTAACATTTTGCAACAAGCAAATCCTTTGCTGTGAGGAAGAAAAATGCCCTCCAGGTCTTTGGGGAACTATATTTTTCTGGTGTACTAGAGGGTGGGAGTGAAGATTATGTTCTGTTCTTAATACGGCTGTCTTTTCCATGCTTAAACTGCATTAACATCACTCATTTCTGTGGCTTTGCAGATACAGAAGATGGGCCTGCACACAAGCAACATAAAGAGCTTCTCGGCTCTCACAGAGCTTGCTGCTGCTGCCAAGGACCAGGCAATGGCAGAGCAGCCTTAGGCAGCTTGGAAGTTCCCAGGGGAGAGGAAAGTTTGGCTTCAAGCCTGAAAAGAAGAAAGTGGTTCTGTTCTTTGAGCAGCCTCCATGGCAAAGAAGTGCTTCCAACATTGTCGCTCCAGCAGCACGCCTTGTGTCTTCTCTCAGCGTATTTGGGTCTTCTTTCACCCAAAAAGAACACAAAAGCCTTTCCATTGTATGGAAGATAGTTTTTAAGACCTTTGAAACTTTCTACAATAGTTTACAGAACAGATTATTTTATTTTTCTTGTAAATCTTAGTGTAGGAGAGCCAATTTCTAAAATACGGTTAAAGCAAATATATATGTCTTAAGTATAAAAGGTCGTCTCCCTGAGGCTGCGCTGGGAGTGACGACTACAGTGGAGTGGCCGTGTGATGTGCAAATGCCTTTCTCTGAAATGGTCAGAACTGTGTCTGCTTCTGGGGGACTGTAAGGTGACGGTCCTCCACTCTCACAGTCTGTCCTGCTTCTCACCCGGGCCTCTCTCAGGATCTAGAACCAGCAGGAAAGACTTACTTCCTGAATAAAAGAAGTGTCTGCTGAGAATGTGTGTACCTTTTATTTGTAAATTCCTCTCGTCACTCATGCCCTAGAATGGCACTTGTTCCCTTGCAGGCAGATGCTCCTTAAGCACCTGTGGACCCTGTCCATCCCTGACCCTTCAGGTGAGCAGAGGCCCCTTCCATGGAGGACCAGCAAGTGCACTAGGGCCCACCCTCTTTACTAGGCTGATGTGGACATAGGAAGGAGGACCATCCTGCAGGAGGAGTTAGGGATGTTGGGAGTGGCACTAAGGTTGTAACTGGCTCATTAGCTCACATGTACACATGCCAGGGAGTGCCACTCAGGCGGCCCTGCCGGGGCTTCAGCTCTTACAGCTTGACTAGCCGCTGCATCGATGCCTCTAGTCTACATTCCTGTGCACCTCAGTCCTTTGTTCAAAGGTTAGCTTGAGGAAGAGAAAGGAAAAGAAAATGGTTGGGAATTAAAACAGACCCTGGAGTTAGCAGGAATGGTTTTTCAGCATAGTGATGAAGAAGGCTGGACACACCAAGAAGCCCAGTGGAAGCACCAAGAAGCGCTTGTGGAGTCCTGGGAGCTTCCACATGTCCAGCTGATCCCACAAGGAAGGCTTCTGCTTCCTGTCTTGAGGCGGTGGCCCTCTTGCCTTTTTCTGCTGTGTAAAGAGCTTTCATTCCAGGCTTAGCTGTGGAGGCCCTGCCCTTGAGGGGCCTGAACACTGGAATTCAGAGTAGAAAGGTCAGAGACAGAACCACAGGAGAGAACAGGAGGGATTTCTTCTTAGGGCCTGACACACCTAGTGTGGGAGCCAGGGCTGGCCAGAAGGCTGTGGTGCTAGGCCTGTGGCTAGCTGGGTTATCTGAAGAAAGGCATGAGCTGGGACAGCAAGGGTGAGCTGGAACCCACAGGTTAAATGGGCCACATCTGGCCCTGTGACCTGGAGGAGCTGGAACCCATAGGGTAAATGGGCCACATTTGGCCTTGGCTTCCTCCAGGACTCACAGGTTTGGTGATGGGGTGACATATAAAGGAAGGTGGAAGCTACACATGCCCCTGGCCCAGGATCTGAGGGAGCTGAAGGAGCTGCGGTCCATGGCCTGCCCATGCTGACAGCTGGGTGTGCAGCTGTGTGAACAGGGTGAGCTGCTCAGAGCACCAGCCAGCAGCAGCCTGCCACATGTGGTCACACCACTTCCCTTCACCTTCCCAGCTTCCTATAGCAGTGTGTGTGTGGCCAAGGCCAGCCTCAAGCCATCTGGGAAGGGAGTTGGGGGGACATGCTTTCAGCCTGGTGAAAGTTGACCTGGTGTGAAGCTGTCCGAGCAGCCATATGGCGCCAATCCAGCCTTCAACCATAGACCACGAGTGCTGTCCCTACCTTCCTCTTTTCCTTTCTCATTTGTTTCAAAACAGGAAGAGAAGGATATAATTTATTAGCCCCATTGAATTCCAGCATTATTCCCATTTTACAGTTGAGGAAACAGGCAAAGTGTGTCATTGAGGTAACTAATGGGTTTTAAATCCAGGCCAGATAGTCCCCAAGCCCATTATTAACCATTGGGTAATCCTCCCTCCCTCGGACCGGCACTAGAACAGAGATGTTAGCAGTCCAGGTTAGAACACAAATTGATTTCTTTGGCCCTCATTGGCCCTAACAGGCCCTGGACTTAATATAATAACACCACCTTTCCCAACACATCTCACAGTAGTGATAGCCACGAGGTGGTAATATTTATGTCTAGGCTTAAATGAGACTGGATAAAAAGCTCCAAGTTTCTGAATGCTCTTCTGTTGCTCCCCAGAGCATCTCTTTTTTTCTCTCATAGGTGCTCTATTCCTTCTGCTTTGGAGAGTCACTGAGTAAAGTTTAAAGATGGAATAATGCTTATTTTTAATGTAAAACTGTAATTATTTTTAACTTTTGTAATATGAAGACTCCACAGAGGGGCTTAAACACAGGCAGTGCACAGAAGTCTGCTGCTTGCTGGGGTGATGTCATGCAGTGGTAGGCACTCTCTCCTGTGGTTCTC